ATTCCAGATTAAAAATGTTACAAAGGACAGGTTCATTCACTTGTAATCTTGTGTATATATACAGTGTGTTTATGTGAGTGTGAGTGTACAAGTCATTAAATAAAAGCAGGCCAGTGAGGCAAAGCATGGGGAGTTGTGATATGAGAAAAGATAGTCAAGGCTAAATTCATAAAACTCACTGTAAACTGATACCATGTACTAACACAGTCTGAATTATTACAGTAGACAGATGTTCAAAACACAACTTACAATTGAAACATAAAACAAATTTTTATTGCATGAAAGGGGATGTAACATATCAAGACATTATACAAAAAAGGCACAAGAATAAATTAATGTTCTCTAACAAACAAAAACCTGTGTCTTGATCCAGGTAGAAGATGAGGTCCAAAAGCAGCAGGGTAGAGAGCCCGGCCAGCGGGGTTCTTGGGGCACCACAGGGCGACCATGGCATCAGTCAAGAACAAGAGGTGGGTATACCCGTGAAGAGCCTGAAGGCCAAAGTTCAGCAAAAGGAGGGTGAAGATAAGGCAAAGGTCGAGATGATCTCTGACGAAGAGAAGCTACTGTTGGATTCCCCTGAAGCAGGTGAAAAAAGAAGGGATATCATGGATCTGTCTAAAGAGGATTTACTCAAACTGCTGGGGATCATGGAAGGAGAGGTTCAGGTGAGTTGTATCTCTTTGACCTTCTGTAATAGGTCAAAGGGTAATTGCAATAACAAGGGAAAGAAAACATACATATGAAAGCCACTGTGGATGAATATAAAGTCAGTCTAAATGCACACTGGTTATGAATGCTTTGAAATGAGTTGGACTGCAGCCTTCTGCACAATAGCTCTATCTTGTGGTTGGCACTGGCAGTTCATCATAACAGAGAAAACAAGTGCATGTGCCATGTGTTTACCAAATGACTTTTTAAAACCATCTGGAATGTGGGACTCTGAGCTATGAAACAAATGCAGGGGAAAAGAAGAGTGTTTTAACTTATCATTTGCATAATGAGGACAACACAGCCGGTTGGAGTGTATATACACTCATCCCTAAACCATAATATGCTATTCATTTGTATGTTTTTATACATCCATGTGGTTTCAGGCCAGAGAAGATGTTATCTTCATGTTAAAGTCTAAACAGACTCTTGCAGAGGCCTGTGAATCACGTTATGGTTCTGCGGTCCCTGGCTCAGCCCTCCAGGCCCTGCAGAGAGACGGCTTCATCACCGGTACAGAGCCACACAACCACAGTGTCTACCAAAAACCTATGGTTGAGGTCAGTATAGGCAACTTCAGTCAGTGACATGGATGTCTCTGTTGTCAGCAGATTTAAAAAAATGCATCTCCAAGCAATTTGAACTCTAAGAAAAGATAATGATTTTTTTTTTTATTAAGAGGTGTTTTTGGCTTTTGTAAATGCACAAAACACAGCTGAATTCCATCATAATCATATGACAAACATTAATAAAAGGAGTGTTTACAATGCTTATATTGTGATATGAGCTCAAAATATATGTGGCATTTGTTGGAAATTTATTTTTTACAGCTTAATCTTGTTAAAAAAAATCAAATGTATAAATATTTCAGTGTTCAAAAGGTTGATATGAAATTCCTGAACACCATGCCAAGATGCTTTTGCTGCAGCAAAGCAAACAAAAATTCACTTTTACCTGTCCTTGGTTGTGTGTATGTGTAACTGTGTGTCTTTTACTTTGTCAGCTGGAGCGTCTGCAGGAGAAACATAGGGAGACCTATCGGAGGATGCTGGGTCAGTTGCTGCTTGCTGAGAAGTGCCATCGTAGCACTGTCCATGAACTGGACACAGAGAAACGTAAACACGCCGACTACATGAACAAGAGCGATGACTTTACCAACCTCTTGGAGCAAGAGAGAGAAAGGTAAGGACGAGAGAAGATGAACATGAGAACCGAATACTATTAAGATAATAGTCCCTACATCAAATTTCATTCCTAAAAACTTTGAAACCAACTCATTAGCTACAGTTTTTTTTTTGGCATATAGTATAGAGAAACGTATCATTATTTAAATTATGGTTTTAATTTGATAATTATGATGAATAATGGAAGAAGGTCCCTATTTGATGTGCAAATGGATCTTGGATCCTCTCCTGATGTCAAGGTCCAAAGTTTCCTCCTTGCAAATTGGGATGGGACACAAAGCAGAAAAGAAAGATTTAATCCTTCACCAAAACATATACAGTACATATATACTCACTGGAAAACATATATTTGTCAAGGGAATTTGTTTGCCACAGATATACATTTAAATTCGTTCACAATACAATACTTGCAAAAATTGTTTTTATTTGTATAGACAGAGAATCTAAGATTTATAAGTAATACTATGCTGGGAGGTAAGAAGGTGAAAATAAGGGAGGAGGAGAAGAGTGGAGAAAGAAATAGAAGAAGAAGAAACTAAAATTTTGAATCAGTGAACCAGCAGTGCTTTTAAAACCAATGTGGAACCTATAAGGTGTAAAAAATGAGAGAATCCTGGGAGAAAGTGTGGCGATGGAATGCACCAATACTGGAGAATGTGTGACACATGACCTCATCAGCCTGGTGAAACACGAGAGGGAAGGTGCTTACTAAAATGTTAACCTCACATACCTTTGTTTGACAGGTGGGGAGAGGTACAGAGCTTGAGGGGAAAAAAGAAGGGAGGCAGAGTGGAAACTTTAGGTGAGGAAGGCTCTTTGCTGTGAGAACGAGGGAGGTCCGGGGCAGACAGAGGTGGAGATGAGGCCACTGTGTGGAGAAACAGAAGCTACAACATGTTAAGGAATAAAGAAGCTAGCCTCCCATAACAATATTTGTCAGATGAAGTCATTGCTGAGGGTGAGACCTTAGTTGTTTGTCAAGAGGAGGTGGGGGATGTATGGTTGGGTGGAGAAACAGCATCAGAGACAGGGATGGTTACATTATCATCATTAGAGATCAAACAAGATTAGAGTGTAGATGTGCACCAAATGCATAAGACAAAGGAAGCCCTCCTAATTAATGTATTTAAATGGCTGTTGCTTGTTGGGAAACATGCAGTATTTCATTCATTCCCTTAACACATCACTGCCTATTCTTACACATTAGCCCTCACAGATGGAATATTGTATATGTTATTGTGCTAATCTAAATTATCATGTGGCTCTCTATGTATTTTTGCATTTATAGTTTTGTGGCTCTCTATGTATTTTTGCATTTATAGTGTGCAAACAGGCACATGTGTGATATAGCAAGAGAGAGAAAGCCAGAGACAGAGAATCTGGATTGTACTATACTTATAACCAGTCATCTGTATAGCAGACTAGAGATTACTTGTGTGCTGATTTTTTTTGAACTGTCAAAACTTCAAAAATTTCATTTATAGCACTGACCCAGCAGAGGCACACAGTACCTCTATTCCTTGAGCTTTTGCTGCAAGATACAGGAAACACAGCACGGAAGCTAAATCACAGTCATGACAGCTGAACTGCCATCACATGGTGAAGGAGAGGGTTGGGAAACGTGCAGCAGAATATTATAGCTACTCTTCAAGAGACATGGACAAAGGGTCGTCAAAGAATTTCAATAAAGAATTTATTGAAATTCATCCATTATCTATACAGCTTATCCTGAAGAGGGTTGCAGAGCCAATAAAAGCTGACACTGGGTGAGACACACTCACTCCTACGGGCAATTTAGAGTTGCCAGTCAAATTAAGATGCATGTCTTTAGACTGTGGGAGGAAATAATGAATTTGTTCTTGGTTGTAAATCATTGTGCATGCATGCCTAAATGAACTAAAGTAAAGTTAAATGTTTTATGGTTTCAACTAAACTGGTTAAGGAAATATTCAATGACTTGAACAATTTTGTGTGCTTAACAACTTTTGGGCTTTGTTAGGCTGAACACATACTATGAATGAGTACAGAAGTAGGGTAGGGTTAGGGTTAGGGTTTTTGGTTTCCCATTTGGTGTGCATTCTACCATGTGAACTGAAGTAGTACTGTACATAGAAACAAGTCTACAACCACGCTAGCAGCTCTGCGAGGCTGTGCTTAAACACAGCGCTGCTTTCAACTTAATGCTAATCTCAGTTTGCTAACATTGTCAGAATGACAATGCTAACATGTTGCTATTTACTATGTTTACTAAGTTCACCGGCTTAGATTAGTGTGTTAGCATGCTTGCTCACATTTGCCGATAAGCACTAAGCACAGTACTGTGGAAGATGGTAAAGTCACTCGTTTTGGGTGTATTTGGTCATAATGGACAAATTAAAGATGGACTTAACTTGACTCGATAGCACTTGGATATATCATATCATATCATATCATATCATATCATATCATATCATATCATATCATATCATATCATATATCATCACAAAAATGATTACAACTGACATTCTACTGAACATCAGGATTGTAGAAAAAATGTTTGTGGAAATCCATGAGATATTTCAGTTTGGACCAAAGTGGTGGACAAACTTACATTGTCCTCCCCATATCCAAAACACTAGCACGGTTAGTTAAAAAAAAGAAAAACATAATCATAATCAAAACCTTGGAATGTGGAAAGCAGTATGTAAAGGTTTCACTTTGAAGCATATAACACAAATCATGTGCCTTGTGAACTGCCATTTTACTTTGACTAGATCCTTGGTTTACATGTCAGAAAGAAGTGACCTCCTTCTTATGCACAGACATCCCTCTGTCACCTCACAGAGAGTGAAGGAAGGGGCTGATCTCTGCTAGGTCTTGACCTGTCAGCACCTGCAGAACCTAGATTCTTCTGTCTGACCAGGACTACCACACTGTGAGTCACTGAAGGAAACAAAAACAAACAATAGCAGGATAGAAAATATCTAAACCATGAAAAAGTGGGTGGGAGGACACCAGTACACAAACTATGCCACATAACTGTGGAAATAAACAGATATACACAAATAAACATGACTTTCCTTGCAGACACATATTGAGCCAACATCTACACAAAAGCATGCACATATCTGCTATGTCTGGAACAGCACTGTTTTGACATTCACCCTCTCAGGTGAAACAGAAGCATGTCATCGTCTTTATCAGTGTGGTCTCCTCCAGCCATCTCAATGAGAGTGAAGAGAGAAAAGTCAAAGGTCTTGT